TTCAGTGAACATTTTTAAATCAAACAGCCTCTGCTCTGTTAAATTTATAGGTAGAGGAACCATTTTTAGGTTGATGTTATAAATGATTCCTGTCTTTCTCCCTGTCTCCCTCCAGTGGGCACCATCCCTAATGGTGTCCTTCGAGCAGCAGAATGGCACAGTCACATGGGCAGCATGAAGGTAGATTACATACTAACTATTTTGCATACACTACTTTAAGATTTTTTAAATGTTTTTTTTTTATTTATTTTTTTATAAAGAAGTCTCTTATATAAAGATGCATTTATTTGATAAAAAATACAGTAAAAACTGTAATATTGTGAAATATTATTACAATTTTAAATAGCTGATTTCTATTTTTATATATTTTAAAATGTAATTCATTCCTGTGATGGTAAAGCTGAATTTTCAGCATCATTACTCCAGTCTTCAGTGTCACATGATCCTTCAGAAATCATTCTAATATGCTGATTTGGAGCTCAAGAAATTTTTTTATTATCAATGTTGAAAACGTTTGTGCTGCTTAATATTCTTAATATTTTTGTGGAAACCATGATCATTTTTAATAGAACTAGCAAGTTCAAACAGCATAAAAAATAGAAGCATTATAAATTTGTAACATTATAAATGTCTTTATTTTGACTTTTGATCAATTTAATGCTTCCTTGCTGGGAAAAAAGTATATTTCTTTAAAAAAGAAAAAAAAAAATCTTACTGACCCCACACTTTTGAAGGGTAGTGTTTCTGTCTAATTTAGCTAGCTTCTACCAAGTGACAGATGAATTTGTGCAAAAATACCATAAATTGAATACCATAAACTGGACACGCAGCTTTGGATGTCAAAACATTAAAACACATGGGAAGTGTTTTGCTATTCAAACATTTTTTGCATTTAGCATGTTTTTATATATATATATATATATATACAGCTCTCTGCAGTACAATCAGAACAGACCTGAAGCCCATTTTTGGTCATGACCAACTAGTTCACAATAATTTATAAAATCTTAATTCCTCCTAATAATTTCTCTCTGATTGCTTCCTCTCCATGTTGTAGGATTTCAGTGTGGACTTTGGTCACTGTCCCGAGATCACTGTCTACACCAGCTGCTGCCTGTTCCCACCGACTGATATGCTGCCCACGCTTTGGGCTGAGAACAGGAAGTCTCTTCTGAGCATGCTGGTTGAGGTCAGTCTATTGTCCTCCTCTCTGCCTCTCTGTTCATCACCCTCCACTGCATCTCAGCTCTTCCTTTGCTGAAGCTGGTTCTTCTGTTCTAGGTGCACAAAGGGGTTCGTGGAGTGGTCAAGGATAAGAGCGGTAAGCCCATCGTGGGCGCTATAATAGTATTGAATGGTGGTGTTCGAGTCTTAACCAGTGAGGGAGGATATTTCCATGCCCTTCTGGCCCCTGGTTTACACAGCATTGAAGCGGTGGCTGACGGCTACCAGCAACAGTCCCAGAAGGTGAGTTTTGTTTTGTTCGGTTTTGTTCTTGTTTTGTTTTTTGTTTTTCAGAACATTTTGTTTATTTAAACAGTATAATAATGAAAATGAAAATAAACTATACAATTCTTTTATAAATATAATGGAGAGTATTACGTTTAATTGAAGTGTGTAATAATATATAATAATGAATATAGTTTATTTGAAAGGTAATTTAATTGTCTTTACATTTTATTTTATCTATGAGATCTATGCATTTTTTTTCACTGTTCCTGTTGCTCTTTTCAGGTGTCTGTGTCGCCATTTGAAGCAGCAAGTTCCATTATTATTGAGTTTGACATGGAGAACGATATATTTGGCCTTCCAAGAGAGTTAGTAGTGGCAAGCGCAGGTAGGCAGATCAAATCACTGAAGTACTAAAGAGCTAAAGTACTCTATATTGATTGTGTTTGCAGTACTAACCAACCATTTTTGAATGCTACATTAATATGATGACAAATTTTCAATGGCTGGTCATTTTCATTATTCAATTCCTAGCTGCCGCAATGACAGCCCTGGTCGTGACAGCTTGCATCATCTGGTGCGTCTGCTCAGCCAAGTCAAACCGACAAAAAAACGGATTCCATCGGCTGCGACAGGACCAGGACGACTATGACGACGAGATCCGCCTCATGTCTATGGGCTCCAAAAAGTCTCTCCTGAGCCATGAATTTCAAGATGAGAGCGAAAGTGACGAGGATACGCTATACACCAACAAACTTTGAGACCTTACTTGCTCCCTCTCCTCCCCCTGAGTCTGTCCAAACTGCCTGCAGTGCCAGTAGAGGGCGCTCAACGGCCAGCAGCATTATTGTCCAATCTAACGAAACCCGAGAACCACCGCGGGATGCACTTTAATTTCCCATGTTGAAATCAGGTGAGCGTTTTGCACCGTAGTGTATGCAATTAACCACTGCTCTCAACCAGCCTGCTTAGTTATCTGGGTCTTTATAATGCCAATCCTCTACCCTTTAAAAAGGAAACTGAACGGCTAGAATCTTTCTCAACAGGACTATGAAACACTGTGCCTTGTTAGATTAGAGGTTGCATGGTCGCTGCTGTTGTGAGGATGATGATTTTGTAGAGTAAATGGAATTTTGCTCCCCTTTTTTTCTGTGGACCCGGGCCAAAGTCAGGAAACAATCCGTCTGAGAATCTGGTCTTCTCATTGGCTTTGAGTTTCAAGTTTATGAAAAACACACTACTGTGTTTCCTGTTCTTCTTATTTGCAGTCATACAGCCAGTGCAGTGGCCCAAACATTTCATATTCTGCAGAGTTATTCGTCCAGTCTTAAATGTAGATATTTACATTAAGCAAGGTGACACATTAGATACGTAGCAGACAAACACGCTCACTCACTGCCTTACCATTTCTCTTCTGTTATTTTGATGTTCAGGGATATGGTGAAACATTAATAACTTCACATGGACATGATATTGTTTAGTCAGTGTGTCTGGATTCTTTTGTCTTAGTGTGCACTCTTATTCTGCAGAGTTATTCGTCCAGTCTTAAATGTAGATATTTACATTAAGCAAGGTGACACATTAGATACGTAGCAGACACTGCCTTACCATTTCTCTTCTGTTATTTTAATGTTCAGGGATATGGTGAAACATTAATAACTTCACATGGACATGATAGTGTTTAGTCAGTGTGTCTGGATTCTTTTGTCTTAGTGTGCACTCTTGAAAATGTTGTCACTGTTTTTTTTTGTTTTTTAATGTATTTATTTTTGTTTTAACATCCATCCAATGAAACCTTTATTTTGCTCACCGACTCAGGCATCCCAAAAAGATGCTGTCAAAACTTTATTCATGTAGTTTACATATTTACATATTATTTACAATTCCGCAGACTAATTAAAAACTGGTATAGTGTATATTTATGCATCAGTGTCTAATCAATGTCTGCATCCTACATCTTCCCTTCCAAAAAAACTCATTGGTGATCATTTGGAGGCATGCATATAGCTTCTTATTTGGTCTCTTAGTTTGTGTATGTACAAAATGTCCAGATGCGCTAAAGCACAGCAGTATGTTTCCTCCACGACAGGATGAGGCTTTGATCGTGTGACACATTGAGGCAATGTGGTGTTACTGTGCAATCTGAAAGCAGCAGTACACCTGAGAGTACTTCTTTCTGTGAGCAGCTTCAGCTCTGTCGCTCTGAGAAATGTATAAATCATTTTCTGAATCATTCTTTGTTCTACTCTATAAAAGAAAAGCAAACACAATAATAAAACTTAATAGAACATTCAGATTTTTCTTTATAATTCATGTCATTCTGTGCCAGACTGACCATTAATACAAGTCAAATGTTAATAAGTGGGAAAATTATCTTTTTGATTTAATTAGTCATTGATCCTATTACCAAGAAAAATTGAATTTATTTTGGCTTGTTGTTGATTGTCATGCTTGAATGTAAATTTCTGGGTGTGTTTGAACAAATATGTATAACTTTTCTATGTTTGTGCTGATGTTTTTTTTTCTCTTCTTTTTATACAACAATGATTGTAGATATCGAATTGTTGCCAACTATATGTAAATGACACAAGTGCAATTTCTATCAAGAGTGAAAGAACTGCACAAATACACCTGTTTTTGTGTATTAAAGAAATGAATGGTGTGTAATGAGATGTAAATAAAGATAAAACTTTGTTCTGAATATTTGATGAGTGTTTTTCTTTAATATGGTAGTTTTTATGTATTTGCGCAGTATTTTGATGGGAGTTATGCAGTTTTCAACTCTGTCTATATATACATACCATAGACTGTGATACATACATGTATGTATGTATGTGTGTGTATATATATATATATATATATATGTATATATATATATATATGTATATATATGAGGAAAGTGGGAACTCAAATCCATGGGTTCAAGAACACAGATATGACCAAATAATCTACAACAGGAATGAGTATTTTTAAGATCCTAAAACCAGTATAACTAATAATAATACATAAATATATATAATAATAAATAAATGAAATAATGTATTATTTACATTTAGTCATTTAGCAGACGCTTTTATCCAAAGCGACTTACAAATGAGGAGAATGGAAGCAAACAAAATCAACAAAAGAGCAATGATATGCAAGTGCTATAACAAGTCTCAGTTAGCTTAACGCAGTACACATAGCAAGGTTTTTTTAATCATATAATAAAATAAAAAGAAAACCGATAGAATACAAAAAGATTAGAAAGCAAGTGTTATTTTTTTATGAAAAGTTATATTTGTATATGTATATATTAAAAACATGTTTTTGGGAAATCTATATTGCCACTAGTGCATATTGATTGTGTTTTTGCGTTACATAATATTTATATCATATATATTATTTTATATAAAAGAAAATAAATATTTTTATACTTAATGTGGTTGTATTTTCGAACTTTATTTACAATAAAGATCACAGAAGAAATGGGAATGCTAAAGGAGAGTGCGCTTCTCCTGCTGACCACGTGAGGGCGCTGTGAAGACAGAGCGCAGCGCAGAGCGTGGTGAAGTGCTCTTGCTTTAGTCTCCGCCTCTGCCAGCACCACCGCGGATGACGTCGAACAACAAAGATGGCGGGAGGAAACAGCAACTACTGGGAAGGTGAGGTGGCAAAGCGTTACAAATTCTGCGCGACCAAAAGCTTTATTGCGGGTTGTGACAGCTCACGCCGATTCCTTGTTCTGAACAATCTTTGGCGACGTTTCCATGAAAACGCAGCCAGGTTACCGCGTTAACTATCGCCGTTAGCATTAGCTCGCTAGTCCGCAGAAACGTCAGTGCTTCCGATTATCCCGAAAAACTGAAGAGTACAGCGAGATATTCATTTCTCTTACTGTAAATATTTGTCAGATGTTTTTCACTTTATACAGACTTTCTGTATTCAATGTAACACAAAGATGTATAATCTGTCAAAAAAAAAAAAAAGTTACGCAGCTGTTTATATATGAAGATGAAACGAGCTTTTCAAAATAAAATAAACTCATGGGCCGTATTTCAAAATCTAATAAACGGCCTTCATAGACAGCACTTGAGGGCTTCATATGCACGTTTTGAATGTTTGCACGTGCCTTAGACGCCTAAAACACATGACAGCAGTCAGACTGAGTAGACAGTTAATAAATCTGGACTATCAACGACCAGGTAGACTATTATGAATGTTTTGTTTTCTATAAATATAAATAACTACCACCTGAAGTTGTCAGTGATATGCTGTGTATAATTTTATACATTCTTCTATTATTATTGTATCATCTAATAATGTAAACTGCCACTAACTCTGAAGGTGCTGCTGAAGGTTGTACATTAATTCAAATGCATATTGATGGATGAGTGTCATTTTATGGTCTTGCATTTTATGAATGTGTATAAGCACTGAAATAATTGACTGAATGCTGAATGTAATGTTTATATTATTGCATGTTGACAGACCTGCGGAAGCAGGCGAGGCAGCTGGAGAACGAGCTGGACCTGAAGCTGGTGTCCTTCAGTAAGCTGTGCACCAGTTACAGCAGTTCTCGGGACGGCCGTAGAGGAGACAGGTGTGATGACACTGTAGTAACTCATCAAAGGACTTGTGATGTTTTTGAAATATCCTTGTGAAGATGGGGGTGGTAAAAACACGGTTCTGTTCTCTCTGTGTTCAATAGTTCAGATACAACGCCTCTGCTCCCCAACTCCACTCAAGACAGAATGTTTGAGACCATGTCAGTGGAGATTGAGCAGCTACTTGCGAAAGTAAGAACTCTGTAAAATGTGCCAATATTAGGTTCTGTATGTATTCTTTACAGTCTCCTAATCTGCTCCTCTTGTATATTAAACTACTTACTGACTAATAAGAATCTTTTTAGTGGTCGAAACTGATCTCTAGAGAGCGGAGTATATATTTAAGTATATATACAATACCACTGAATGAAAACAAATAGATGAGTAAATAAGTACACTGTTTGTTTAATTTGAATTAATTTATTTATTTTACACATTATTAATTATATTATTTACTTATAGTTTTGTCTCACTTCGTTCCTGTGTTTTAAAGCTTACGGGGGTGAATGACAAGATGGCTGAGTATACAAGCACACCAGGAGTAACGTCTCTGAACGCTGCTCTAATGCACACTCTCCAGAGGCACAGAGACATCCTACAGGTGAGTTTTTGTCATTTATAATCTCGTCCCATTTGAACACAGTAATTTACATGATTGTCCTTAAACAGCTGGCTGCCCAATTATTAATATATGTGTACTGTACACTGTTCAAAAGTTTGGGGTCAGGAAGATATTTATTCATTTATTTTGATTAAGAAATTAATGCTTCTATTTAGCAAGGTTGCCATGAATTGATTAAAACGGACAGTAAAGACAATTATAATGTTATAAAATGTTTCTATTTCAAAATTTTTTTTTTCTTTTGATTCATCTAAGACTCCTGAAAAAATTGTATAACTGTTTCCACAAAAATATTATGTTGCAACATTTTCAACATTGATAATAAAAAGAAATGTTTCTTGAGCACTAAATCAGCATATTAGAATGATTTCTGAAGGATCTTAAAGGATGGAGTAATGGCTGCTGAAAATTGCATAAAATGTTACGATAGAGCAGAGTTATTTTAAGTTGCAATAATATGACTGTTTTTACTTATTTTGATCAAATAAATGCAGCCTTGGTGAGCATAAAAGACTTTGTTTATAAAGATTAAAAAAATAACAACCCCAAACTTGCAAATAGTGTACTTATTATGAAGACTGTATTATCAAGAGGAAAGGGCACTTCATGTATTTGACATGAATATAGCTGACCTAGCTTGTTATTTATAATCCCTTCGTCTCTGTTTTCCTTATCTAGGACTACACACATGAATTTCATAAAACCAAATCAAACTTCATGGCAATCAGGGAGAGAGAGGATCTTCTGGGATCTGTGAGAAAAGACATTGAGTGAGTTTTCTCTTTAATTTCCTTTTGAAACCAAAAAGGTTGTGAACACCAGTTCCATGTAATGTGTAATTAACCTGTATTATGAAACCTTCTTTTATGTGTAATGAAAATTCTCTCCAAACACATGGTTTCTGTTCACAGTTCAAGCTGTCAGTCTGATCTTTATATCGCCATGCTGTTTCATCCAAGAGCAAAGTTGAATTCAGGCCCTGATGAATTCTTTCAGTTTCTTTCTCACATTTTCTGTGCTGATTGTGAAGGAAAATTAGTGGAATTCTTCTGAATGGATTTAAAAACGTGCTAAACCAATATGAGAATATTACACTCTTATTTTAGTATAATTCATAAATAAATACATAAAGACCATGCTCGCTTTCTGTGAAGTTCTGCAGGCACAGATTTGTTGTGGTGCTGGTTGTAATCCTGAGATCGTGACTGCGGGGCTGAATAATGACTTATTGATCTGAGCCGCAATGGTCTAGCACCTCTATGGGCGGCTTATTTAATTTGTGTGTCTTGAAATAGTTGTTGTGGTACCATATATGATGAGAAAAACTGCTCCATACTGCTTATTTTTTTGTCTAAATAAACTGACTGTCAGAATTGGATTTGAGCTCAATCCATCTCTTGCAGCATTGTTTATAAGGCCTGTATTTACTCAAGTTAGGAGTACATCCCTTTCTGCTTCATCTTCAGCCACATTCCACTCACCTGACCAGCAAAAACTTGTTTACCCAGTATAGAGAACAGCACGTCGGCCGATTTCATACACTTGTGCATCAAATTGAGTGGGTTACACTTAGAATGGTGCACAGATTTTACCTAATCAGACAGTACTCTGATGAAATTATACTGTATATAACCCAGGAATAGAGCATTCTGATAATTAATATGCTGAACGTACATTGTTTTACTACCGTTCAAGATTTAGGGTCAGTAAGATCTTTAAAAAATGATTATGAAAGACGTCTCTTGTGCTTACCAAGGCTGCATTTATTTGTTATATTTTGAAATTATTTAAAATAACTTTTCTATTTTAATATATTTCACCTTTTCGCATCACATTTATTTCTGTTATGCAAAGCTGAATTTTCAGCAGCCATTACTCCAGTCTTCAATGTCACATGATCCTTCAGAAATTATTGATTGCTGAATAAAAATAATAGATTTTAAAAAAATGATGTCTTACAGACCCCCAAATTTTGAATGGTAGTGCATGTCTTGTTAACAGATTGTATCTGAAGCACATTATTGTTATTAAATATATTGATTAAAGTACAGGCACGATCTGTTGTAAGATTTTTGCTTAGTCAACATACTGATTATTTAATATATTATTGTGCAAAATAGTGTAGTTGAAAGTGTTAAAGGGGTCATATGATGTTACTAAAAAGAACATTATTTTGTGTATTTGGTGTAATGAAATGTGTTTATGCGGTTTAAGGTATCATATGATATGGTTGTAATATTCATATTTACCCCCAGAGGGTGATGGTGCACCTTTAGTAACACACTGCTGGATTTGTCTGCCAATGTAGAACATTGTTTGCACGCTCCTACTCAGTTACTTTCTGTCTTGTAGACTGTGAAGGTTTCAGCCGGGCCACCTCCGAAACCTTACTCCTGTAGTGCGTGTCGTGCCTGCTGTGCTCCTCCTGTTACCGGGCTCCCCATTGATCAGCAGCTCAGCGCTATAGAAATGTCAGCAGGCAGAATTGACAAAGCCCCCTGTGTGATTTAGTGCACTGCCCTTTAAAACCTTGTTAGAATGATTAAATTGGCTGTCAGCACCCTGTCACTTTGATTGGTGTGGACTGACAGTTGATTTGACCAGTGGACAGGTGTAATCCCATAGAAACTGGATTAATATCCCTTCTACATACATCTGTTTACAATAGGTACAGAGAAAAACCCACCGGAGGGTGAAGCCTAGTTCAGCCAAGGTAGTCATTCAGGCTGCCATTTTCAGCAACCTTTTCCCACCCTCATAAACTCTCCTCTCAGAGATGTCAATGTCAACTTTATTTATATAGCACCATTAAAAACAACAACTGTTGACCAAGGTGCTAAACAAAATATCAAAGCCTTCAATAAAAACAATTACAACATACAGATTATACACACTTAAAATCACTAAATACACAAATTAACTAAATGCTAAAGAAAATAAATATGTTTTGAGCTTTCCCTTGAAATCATGTACCGTAGTAGCAGTTCTAATGTACACAGGTAAACCGTTCCAGAGCTTTGGTGCAGCAATGGAAAAAGCACGATCACCTCTTAGTTTCAACCTAGCCTTCGGAACATTTAGTTGTCTCTGATTGGATGACCTTAGAGACCTAGCTGGATTGGAAATGGAGAGTAAATCAGACATATCTAGGTGCTAGACCATTCAAACATTTAAAAACCAGTAGCAGCACTTTAAAATCAATTCTAAAATGGACTGGGAGCCAGTGCAAAGAAATTAAAACTGGAGTAATATGTTCTCGTTTTCGAACACCTGTAAGAAGCCTGGCAGCAGCATTCTGTACCATCTGAAGACGGGCCAGAGAGGACTGATTAATGCCCATATAAAGGGAGTTACAGTAGTCTACTCTTGTTGAGAAGAAAGCATGAATCACTTTTTCCAAAGTCCTTAAAAGAAACAAATGGTTTTACCTTGGCTAGGACTCGGAGATGAAAAAAAACTGGTTTTAACCACAGAACTAATCTGTTTGTCAAATTTGAGAGAGATGGGGAGATGGAGATTTGTTTTAATTTGTGCTGTCAGGCCAGTGGGTGTCTTCAAAAAAGCCTAACTGGTGTTGCACAAAGCAAAGGGGGTATTTTTGTCTTTCGTTTCTTTGATGAACTCTTGGGAAAGGGCTGTTCTTCTCAGCACTGTGTTCATTCATTATTTACACTAAATGCTGTCTGTGAGAGAGAGCTTGTGTATAAATGGCACAGAATGAAGAGAAACCCTCAATATTAACCCAGCCCCCCACTTCATCTGAAGTGACAGACTTTCTATAGGATGATGTTCATAAAATGCCACATGGGTGATTGCATTTCTGTTTAATTGTTAATTAATTTTCTTTTCTCTTGTCAGGACATATAAGAGTGGCTCGGGAGTGAATAACAGGCGGACAGAGCTCTTCCTGAAAGAACACGAGCACCTGAGAAAGTAAGACCCTTCTTCCTCTGCAGTCTACTTGATGAAATACTCTGAAATTCACAGTAGCACAATTTTTGTGTGAAGAAATTATAAAATTATCATTTCACATTTTTTCTTTAATGGGAAGAAGGTGCAGTGAAAAAACAACAACATGGTACACATGAATTTAAAATGCATTTTTTTTTAACTCCAGGTTTGGTGTGCTTGTTTGTAGGTCTGCAAATTTTGGAATTTTATAATATTTCACTATAAAATAAATATGTATTTAAGATAAATAATATTAGAAGAATAATACGGTACAACTGTAAAATTACAATAATATAGATATGTTACAGATGTGTTTCTTTTATTTTCTAATGTTAAATTAGAATGCTTTTGCCAAAAGCTTTTTGGCAAAAACTATAGAAAGCCCTTAAAGCTTCTCTTCTGTTGACCACAGCCTGTTTATATTTACAAGTCTGGGAAGATGTGTGAAGCAGACATCTTACAAGCAACAACCCAGTTTGTGTAGAACTGCAAACCAATCTGCTCCCAGACCCTGAAAACACTGGAAGCATGCGTGTAAATGAACACAGTGTCTTGTTTCACTCTGTTGCCCACAGCGCATATATTTATTTAATGAAATTGCAGCCCTTCACAATTTGATAGTCACACTAAGCTATATTGCGATTTCTGTTTTATTTCAATTAAATGTTTAGCTCTACATGGTACTGCGTCTTCATCTCAACCCTTTCTGATAAGATCAACACAGCCACCGATAGATCAGTAAAGATAGTGGTACAATTCTAGTCAATCCAAAGATTTTTCAATGGAAGGAAGTAAACTTCAGAGACGCCCACATTCAGGTGGAAAGGAGAGAATAAGACACTCAAAGTGTAGCACTCCGTCACCCACTCCCAGTGTCACAGCCACTTTGTCTGAGGAATGGAGGAAGGTTACCTTTAATAGACACACTCTCATTCATCAGTAACTCAGCAAGTTACAGCAAGCTCTTTTGCGCTGTTCTGTGTCAAATTGATGACTTAAATTTGTGGAGTCATCGTAAGTGGCTGCCCCAACTGCTTGTGTAGGCATGGGTTGATTTGATATAACAAAGGATGTAAAATTCGCACTGGTTTTAAAACATTAAAATGAATCAATGGGCTGTGGTAAAGAATTTGACAGAGAATTTGCTCTGGGTCATTTGTTTCATAGCAAAGCCTCACTGTATCAGTTTGCCAGAGGTAAGTAAAAGAGACCAGTGACAGAGACAAATATTACACACACATGCTTTAAGACTCATGGATTGATTATTGCCTCAGGGAAAGCTTGGATAAACTAGCTCAAATTAAAGCTTTCTGAGTTTAGCTTCTGGGATCAAACTTAATAGCTTATGAAGGACTGTTCTAAATTTATTTTAATAAGTGAATGTAAATTGCCATTTGTGTACAAGGCTTGCTTTGACCAATTGAGAACTGTTTGAATCATGAAAAAGTGGGTGTTATGAACCAGAATAGAGTTCTGGAAGTAAAAAGTCCATTCATTTTCTCCATAGAGAAATAATACAGACCCAACATTAGCTCTGAACTCTTATTGATCTGATGCTTCTATGGCATTTTAACTTCATTTAAAAGCTATTTAATAGATGAATTCCTTGCAAAGCCTTATATTTGTATATTCTACCATTCAAAAGTCCTTAAACTTTCTATTTATCAAAAAAATCTCAGTTGAATCTATCACCGTTTCCACAAAAATGTTAAGCAGCACAACTAACATTGACTACGTTTACATGCGCACGAATAATGCAATTATTTCCAATAATCAGAGTAAGGACTTAATCGCATTATGATGTTTACATGTCAAGAGCAAAGCTCTTCACTCCCGTTTACATGCAATTTCCATTATTCTTATTATTCGCTAAGAATTGTGGTTATTTTTTTTATTGCCATTATTCACACACCCCACTGCACAGCACAAATGATCGACTCAGAAAGAGCAGGTGTGTTACTGGCCGCTGTTTTAATTTTGTTTAATGCAAAACACGTTTGTATGATTGTATTCCATACTTTTTCGGTGCCATAGAAATGTGATGGCAATTTGTTTGCCTACGCTGGCAGCGAGTTGTGTTTTCCCCAGAAATGCGATGCTTTCTGCCCCGCCATCGTTTCTAATCTGCGTATTATTACAGGTGCGCGTCACGTCATTCATGTATGTCACAAGCACATGCGCACTTTGGTCAGAGCAGCAATACTGCGATTAAGGTGTTTACATGCCTGTATATTTCGATTAACATCGGCGTACGCCACCTATGTTAATACGATTATGCTTGCTGCGATTATGAGTTTAATCGCATTATTTAAATCGAAGTCTTGCGTTTACATGAGGTAAAGTTTAATCGCAATATTGCCAAAATCTAATTATAATCGCATTAAGAGGGTGCATGTAAACGCACTCAATGATAATAATAAAAATCTGAAGAATCATGTGACACTGAAGACTGGAGTAATGGCTACTTTGCTATTACACGAATACAAAACACTAAAAAATATTCTAATATACAAAACAGATATTTTAAATTGTAATAATATTTCACAAAATTAATATTTTAGTATTTTGGATTAAATAAATGCAGGCTTGATAATATAGACTTTCAGAAACATGTAAAAAATATTACTGATCCCAAACCTTTGAACGGTAGTGTATTTGATCAAATTTAGCACTCATAGGGAAATATGATAATGTTTTGTAATTATCATTTAAATCTGGTTAATTTTCAAATTGTTTGTCGTAAATAAACATCTCAGAAAAATGTTATGGCGTAATGGGGCATAATTGTCATACATGTCTTCTGTAGAGGATACCAAGACAAACATCATGCTAATCAGGCATTTTGGGGAGACACAACAAGTCAATAAGGAAAGAAATTATAGATCGATATTCCTATGAAATATGAGATATTCTTATGAAAATGTTGCCAAGTTATTACTCCCATTATTACACTTCTTTTTTCATTATGGTTTGCCCCAAGAACACATTAATATGCAATGAATAGACAAATTGTATAGAATGGGAAAACCCATTTATGGACATTTTACGCACATATTCCATAAGGTACAGTTATAGTAGTATATCAAATAATTCTGTTATATCTTTCATAACATGGTTGAGAATCATCTTTGTACAAAGTTTGGCTAAAAATAGCCTGAAACCTAAAAACTGATTGGTGAATGAAAAAATAAAACATTGTTTTTGCCTATACCAGTGTTTCTCAACCCTGGTCCTGAGCGCCCCCCAACACTGCACATTTTGTATGTCTCCCTTATCTGACACCCATTTCAGGTCCTGGAGTTTCTTTTAATGAGCTAATGAGTTGAATCAGGTGTGTTTGATTAGGGAGACACAAAATGTGCAGTGCTGGGGGGCGCCCAGGACCAGGGTTGAGAAACACTGGCCTATACGTACCTTTTCATGTCTATTTTATTTTTTATTTTTTTTAAACTTAGTCCTGGCGTCCTCTACAAAGGACATAGAATAAACAATATATATTTTTTTAATGTTTTCTCCATTTGTTTTTTATGCTCCAACCAATGTAATGACATAAAAAAATTCACAAAACTTTTTTTTTATGGTTCTCAGGAGGATATGAATATTCTGCGAAATATTGCAAAATATTAGGCTAAATAAACAATATCTTGTATAAAAACAATATACTTTATATGTACACTGACTATAAATGAATTTTTTTGTTTTTTAAATCCCTGTAGGGAAAATACATGGGAAAGATACTTCCAGAACCAAGGCATCTAAAAAGTGGGCGGTTACTGTTTTGCTCTATGGAGCCAGTTTAGATTCACTTGCATTGACCTGCTGCTCATGTGCTGAGTGGTAATTGGCACAGTTGAGACTGTAAGCTGGCTGAATGCTGAGTGTGTATGTGTGCGCCTCTCTCTCTCCCTGCAGTCCTGGCCACATGCCCGCTTTGTTTCTCAGCATCAGTGTGCCCTTACTTCTTTCAGCCCAGTGCCTCACATCAGAGTCTTCTGGGGGGCAAACACAGGGCATAGACACTTTATTTACTTTAACATTTGCACTGCTCTGTTGTTTTTCCTTTTCTTTTTTTTTTTTAGGACCTGTGTTAACTATATAGAACATTTATCTATGATAAAATATGGTCCAGAATATCACACCATTAGTATTGTTGACATACTGTACTTCCATAAGCTGTAAGATAGGTAACAAGAGCTGCGTTTGTACGATTTGGGCTGTGGTTGTCTCCTCATCTTCCTTTCACATGCTTCTCAGCTCTCAGAGAGGAAGTAATCTTTGGTGTTATTGCTTGAGCCCTTTCCAATGTAAACAGTAATTGAAGTCGATGCCATCAGGAATGCCATTTAAAGACATTAACAGCTATGACAGTCTGACTCATAGATTACACTGAGCACTCAGAGAAAATAAGGAGGGAGATTGTGGAAACACATTGCAGGCAATTACTCATGCAAATATGGAAGGATCCGACAAGAAAAAAGTAAGCAATAAAACAATGATAACTTGTTACAGGAAACTAAGGCTGTTCTAAAGGCTTTCTAAAGAGCTAAATGTTTTTGTTCTGTTTCACTCCTTTATATGACTTCATAAAATCATTTCGTATCCCGCTGACTGAAGTAGGCCTGGAGGTTAAAAAACTAAGACTAAAGCTAGTTCAGTTGTAATGCTCACACATTTGGAAGATTCTATTAAAACAGAAAGCTTATCAGATTATATTAAGTAAGAAGAAAAATCCTACAGGAGGCATGGCAGGACATTTGTTCTTCAGTTGTCTTGTCTGATATGGTGTGTGTGTACGACAGGATTGCTTCCTGCAAAGCATCTGATGATGAAGAGCAAGCAGCTCTAGATCCATTATACATTTACTGGAAATTTCTGGCCATATTAGCGCTGTTTATGTCCAAAATAGACATAAAGCAATTACACAGGTCAGTTCCTCTCTTTCACAGCTGGTTGAAAATACACGTTTTATTGTCTGGGTTGAT